CGATGAGCGGTGGAAAGACTGGGTGGGACTGCTATGCAAATGTGAGGTGCTTGGGCTCTTATAAGAAATCTAATCGCTTACTAACATGTTAAATAAGGAATATGGAATCCTCTAGGGGTGGGACCACGCAAGCAAAGTATATACCATCCTAGGGGATTGCTAAGTTTTGCCATCTCATTAGATTGAAAACCAGTTAGATAATGTTTATTGTGCCAACCTGGCTGATAAACACGGGGGTTAATTGAAGGGCGGAAAGATAAATGGCTTGGTGCGCCTCACCTTTCTAGTTCTCAGGTCTCTTGCTTTGTGATGGTCAGACCATGGTGCAGCTGCCTTAGCCAGTTCCCTGCTTCAACTGGCAAGGCTCACTTCCTGCAAGACATCCCCAAGGAGAAGCCACATGGACCTACCCCATAGAGGCTGGAGCAGCGATGTGGAGACTCCTGTCAGCGGTGAGATGCTTACACGTTCACTGATTCAGCTCCCCTCCTGCAGTCGGCGTCATTGCATGTGTTTTTTGAGATGGAGGAGGGCTTTGTAGATTGGTGTCAGACATAAGGGTTAATGTTGGATTTGTAGGTTTGGGTAACACTGGGTTGGGATGTTTTCTTGCTGTGCACTTAACCCTTATATAAAACTCTCTTATACATATGAGTTTCTGTGGATTTGTTTCTCTAATGTACCCAGACTAACACAAGGAGCCATCTGAGTGGCAAGGAAAAATCTCATGACCATCAAGAGCAAGCCAGGAGTCTACTGGTCCTTTGGACCTGACATCCCTGCACTGCCCACTTCAAGCCAGCAGGGAGCCATTGACACTGCAGAAGGTGAGAGGTGGAGAACCCGGAGTAGGAGGGGTGCAGCAGACTTCCTGGCCCACAGGGGGCAGCGGGGTGCCTTGGCGCAGGAAGCTTGCTGGAGTGGGTTGTCTCCAGACACTTAATGAAGGGGAGGGGGACTTAGGTTTGCGGACACCTGGCACTTTAAGGCCAAGGCCTACTGGCTGTGTGAGTGCTTCATCAGCAGAGCTACGCTTGGCCAAGTAGGGCAGAGACCAAGGGGCCGCAGGGTTGAGAGGTCAAGGGTTTAAAGTGTTTTGTAACATGCACTTTACCAAGCCATGAGGCCAAGGGCCTGGGCCTGCCTGTGAGCACAGCTGAGGGGGGGCTGCTTTGACCAATGATCTATTCCGAGTGTTTCTGATCCTAAATTGCAACTGGCTCTTTCCCTGATAAATCTCTTAACTGTGAGTATGCCCTGCAAGTTCTGTATGTCCGTTTCAACAAATTACACCGGACAACACACATTTTGGTGCCTCAGATGTGAAGACTCTTTTCTGGGGACATTTGACCTGCTGACTCCCGAAACGGCACCTGCTTTCCCCATCAGCTCTAGTTTCGGAGGTAAAGAACACACACCATCCACCCTTTGGTAGCTCCATGCAGAACCACCCTGGCTCCACCTACAGCTTCCTTTGGAAGTCGCTTAATACCCAATTCTTTTAAAAATATTTCTTGCCTTTTCTGTCTTCACCTACCATTTTCAGATCTGAATTTTCTCATGTTTAAAACTAGGGTGATAATAAATAAATTAGTATAACAGCTGAAAACATGGTGGGGCACCCTGGCTAAGAGAGGATGGAGCTGATGCTGTCTGTCCAAAGCAGTTTTCTGAACCAGCACCCAGATCACCCAAGAACTGGCCTAAGCACCAAGACACGGAGGAAAAGACACTGTTTCTGTTGTTGGGCTGGGTTACAGCAGGCGGCAGAGAAGCAGGAAGTGCCATAGAAGGGGTGCTGGGTGTCAGAATTAGCACACGTTTGGAAGGGGAGGCTTATCTGTCCTCTGGTCAAGGGAATTGGCCCTGGGCTGATACTGATGTAATGATTCTCCTTCCATATGAAGGTAGATCAGACACCAGCTTTCCACCACCACCACCACCACCACCCACCCAGAGCCCCAACACATACACACATACTCCATTCTCGAAACTGTGAACAGAGGACACGACATTTTCCAGACTGGTGTGGTTCATAGCAACGTCTCACCTTTGCAGAGGTGGTGATGGGTAGAGTGCGCTAGGTGGGCAGGGGGTGGCCAGGAGGTAGCGTGGCCTGATGCTAATGGTGCTGAACAGTTGGTGCAAGAGTTTGGAAAAAAATCTGAGGGACAGCAGACACCCATCTCCTCACTCAAGGACATGCCACCAGGTTTCCTTAAACTCCACCTGTGTCTGAAAACTGGTCTTCAGTCCTCAGGGGCACAAAGGATATGTCGGATGGCCTTTCATATTTGCACTGGCTATCGGTCTTTGTAATTACTAGATGGAGTTTATCTTTGGACTATGCTTTAAATCCAGGGAAAAGAGATGATCTGTTTTCAGGCCAAAACAGCAGTGTTAAACTGAGGTGGTTTGGTATATGCACACACACCTACAGCAACAGGATGGAATAGGCAGGCTGAGAGAAAATTGGGAATTAGTGAGCAGCTACTAGTGAACATTCCTGCTGGAGGCTTAGCAAAAGGTAACCTGAACTGGGGACATTGATCACGAATGATCTTGTACCCAATGAACTTTTTACTGTTTCTTCCTTGTTTTACGAAGGTGGAAAATAGGAGCTTCGAAGTGTTTAGAGAAGTGTCAAACATGTTTCAGCAGATTACAAGTCTTTTACGAAGGAGTCAAGATGTGAACATTTGATAAACAGCATCTTTCTTGCCCTAATCTGCCTAAAGGTTAGGGTTTTATTTTTCAAATCAAGGATAGACGTAAGGAACCTTGAGAGCCACCTAGTCCCTCTTATTTAGTTTCCCCTTGCCATCCAGTCAATGCTGACCCATAGTGATCGATCCCCTGTGGGTTTGAGACGCTGCTTAAGGGAGTGGAAAGGCCAGTCTTTCTCCCATGAAAGGTTTGTATTACTGAACACACTAGCTGTTCAACACATTTCCACAGGAACCCTGGTACCCAGCCTTGGTGGCTGCATGCACCTGGCAGTGGACTGCTGACTACATGGCCATTGGCTTAAGCCTATTGGAGAAAGACGAGGCTGTCTGCTTCCATAGAGCTGTCGTATGAATGTGCTTGACACGATGGATGGATGGATGAATGAATTGTGGTAAGACTTGTACGAACTGCCAATAAGATGATTTTTAAAAATCCCGCCCTTGAGAATAATTCCCAAAATCTATTAACCCTTGGTGCTTCAGAACAGACTGTATACTTACTATGTTTGGAAAGCCTTATTTTTAAAACAAAGAAATGAAATAATTAACATCAAGTTAGGGGATCTACACGCCAATTTTAGTTCTGCTTTATTTCTATAGTAAGTATTTCGTATCAGTGCAAAGTACTAGCCTAATTTAATCTAGCTCTATTCTCAAATCACTTATTCCCTTATAGGAGGAGGCAGTCTGAAACAGACCTGTGATTGATGTGCTTCAGGCGTGATATATTTGCTGTGGCTATGAACCTGAATTGTAGTTGTCTGAGTACAATTTGCAGCTTCCTCATCATTCTCTCCAATTTCAAAATAGTCGCTTGAAAATGACTTTAATTTCATAATCATTAAGATTTTGAACTCAGAATATTCATCTTTGAAATTTATAAAACATACGCACTGCAATTTAACTGATCTTCCATGGTGTTTTATAAACTGAAAACTTTGGAAAGGTAGACATTAGATAATAAGGGGCTCTGCTGTGGTACCTGCCACCATCAGAAACATGACAGCTTTGTTCCTATGTCCTGTAATGGTGAGTGTCTGAGTAAAAGTAGCCTCAGGGAGGTGAATTCTGCCTCCAGGTGAAAAGTTTCAATCAGAATATTCTCCCATTCACTGCTAGCCTCAGTTGGCTATAGCCCCTCAAAGTTATGTTTGTACTTACAGGAAAAGATTAAGAAGACAAAACGATGAGTGGATACGAATCAGTGGAAAATAAGTAGCAATACTGCATCAATGCAAGACAAAATATACTTTATTGGACAGCAAATGCACACAGTGCTTTAGGTAATGCATGCTGCTAGGAACCTGCATATATCAAAGGTTGGTATGCAAATGATGGGAATGATCGCCCTTTAATGCTTGAAGATATAGTCAATGGGGAAGGGAGGAGAATTTGTGTCCACATCTCAAACGCAGTACTATATGAGGGGGCCTCAACAAGTTCAGAGAAAAATTGAATTAAAACGTAATAGAACTTTCCCACAAACCTTTTGAAGCTCCCTCCTACATACTTAATCAGATACCTATGAATCTAAGCAAAAGGCTAAAGGCAAAAAAAGGAACTTGCCTGAGCTGTACTCAGAAATCACTTCCAGCATCAAAACTGGAAGATGGGCTAACCGAAGGAAGCACTGTCTCTGTCCAGACAAACGACTAGGCACTGGACACTCACACGTCCACTTACTTAACTGGCGATTCTGATGACACTTATTCTGCCAGAAACAAACAGTAGAATTGCTAAGCAGGCTGGATAAACATTTATGTTTTAATTCTTCAGAATGTCATAAATCTTGGGCTAAAACAACCACCTGAGGTAAAATGGATCCCTTTCTGCTTGCAAGGACCAAGGACAGTTTGAACTCCAAAAGATGAACTTTTAAGACATGGAAAAGTAATAATAGTGCTATGACATAGCGAGACTTTTGATGAAAATTATGATGTTCTAAAAACCTGTCAAAATCAATATAAAACTGAGGGGGCAAGGCTCGCATGTTTTATAAAGCAGCATTTTTAGATCAACTGCTTCATTTCCTCCTTTTGAAACAGATGCAGCAGATTAAGTGCTTTCTGTAGGAATGAATGCAAACAGGCAGCCTGTTCAACTGTTTTCTAATTGCAGAACTGTGGACTTACACAGTGCTTTAATTTAAACAAAGAGTAATATCGTATACACAATTTCACTTAGAAATGCAAAGAAACACTACTTATCACAAATCACAAGTACTCCTTTCTACTAAAAAGTAATTTTAAAGGCAACACAGGACTAAAAACATTCAACTATCTATCACTTTATTTATATTACTATGCTTAAGTTACATGGAAAAAAAAAAAAGACAACCAAGCGGTTTCTGGAAAACTTTCAGGAAATCAACACCAAGCATGTGGCGAGGATAACTAGGAATGGTCAAGATGGACAAGGAAGAATGGGCTCCTGTGCTACGGTTCGTCTCCAACAGGATTATGACGCAGCGGCCAGCACAAGCCGCCGCACTAACACCGGACCTTCAGCGCTGGCCACAGGTTTGGACCTCTTCTCTGAAGCTAGCAAATCAGGTGACGTAACTGAGTTTAACACAAAAGGATTGAAAATGAAGCCCAAATACAAGTTTTAAAACCATGCTCTTGACATTGTTTTCCTTTTAGGATTTACATAAAATGCGCTGTTTTCCATTCTAATCGCCCAGATTTTTTTCTTCATTTAGTCCACTACATAGCTGCAGATGACTATTCTGCCTCAAGATGTAAACATAAGGGGGGAAAAAAACAAAAACAAGTTAACGGCATCTGCATAATATTCTCTCTACACATTGCTGCTGGATGGAAAAAAAAAAGAAAGGTAGGTTCCCTCTTAGACTCTCACCACCTCTTGTTCCGCAGTTCATGAATCCGACGCTGATGCTAAGGTGACAGTGTATGTAAGGAGATTTTTGTTTTCAGTGAAGGAGACCTGGGAAACGATGGTATTTCTCTCTTTCGCTTCAAGAGTTATCAGACGGTACGTGCTCCTCAAAGCCCTCACTCTCTCGAACAAGAGCCCGTTCCAGGATCACACGGCCTTCCTTGTAACGCTGGCTGTCTTCAGTGGCAAACTCATAGATCCATCCCAGTTTGCTATTGCAGTTCTTGCAGCTCACATCTCGCACCATATGGCGGCCAGTGAGCATGACCCGGTCTTGAACTTCACTGTACTGCAGGTTAACTACCTAATGTAAGAAGACAAAATTGCAAAGGCATGTAAGCAGCTTGCCAAACGTGTCCAATATTCTGTGTGGTGCAGTAACAGAGGAGACTGACTCTAGTTAAGCTGGCAATACCTTGAGGGCCACGCGCTACTTTTAGAAGGCTCTCCACGACAGGTAAGCATAGCGAGCCAACGGGGTCATGCAGTACAGCACTGTGCACAGCTGAAGCCACACCACTCCGACATCCCACATACACCTATTTTCTACTTCAGGTCATAGAATGCAGATTTGGACCCAATTGTTCTATTTTAAGAATTGATGTTTTAAGAAGGACCTGATAGTATTTTCCACTGAGGGCTATATAATTTTTGTTGCGAGTATTCAACTCTACCTTGGCAGCAAGGAAACCCCAATGCACATAAGCACGAGTGTAGCTGCCTCCCAATCAATGTCACCAGAGTAGGCAGCTGCCTGCCAGCTGTCGGGTGCTAAATCTTGCTCTACACTGAAGACTGAAGTTCGCTTGTATGTGGAAAATAGAGGTATCCATGGGAGAAGTGTGCCCGGTCTGGATTAGCCCTGATCCTTAGCCTGAAAGATTCAACAATTCAATTTCTTAAGTACACATAGATTCAGAGGGTAGAATCACATCAGTTCCAAAGCAAGGCAGAAATCAGAGAAGCCTGCAGGCTGAGCACTCATTTGTAACTCAGGGAACATGGCTCCTGTTGGCAAACAGGCCAGGAGTCAAATCATAATCAGGACACTTGGTGAGCTTGCATGCAAGTGAGAAGTTAGGAGGTCCTTGTTCACGTCCCCTTACGGTGGATCCTGCAGCCATCTCTCAGTCTGCACACATCAGTGACAGGGGTGAGTAGCGTCCCGGCCCCTGCTTCCATGCTGTGTGCTGACACCACTGCCAAAGCCTACAAGGGCCGTTTCCTGAGGCCGTGGGGGCCATCCTTCTGGTGGCACATTTTTAAACTTTCAAGGTTAAAAGCCACAGTGCAGCGATGCTTTCCCGGGCTCCCTCAGAGAACACACTAGCAAGCAGTCCCTATAGACTTCAGCTCTTCACGATGACTGGGCAGGAGCTGGTCGGCTTTCTCACCCACCTTGTTAAAAAGAAAGGCGCGGCCAGTTGCGCCTGTGAACCGAGTGGAGATGAGTTCTGAGCGGTTGGTGAGGATGGTATCGCAGTTTGCACAGGAAAACAGACGGGTCCCACCGATGTGGTCAAGGAAAATTCGGCCCATTTTTGTAGTGAATGTTCTAAACACCTGGCAGCAAATGGAAAAAGGACAGAAATGCATCACCATTAAAATGAACAATGTTCGGACCGTTGTGCGTTGTAGTGCTCAGGATGTGCAACAGCAGCTGACCCAGAGCAAAAGGAGCCAAAGTTCACGCTCTGAACACGCAACTTAGCTAGGGCCACTCTTCCAGCCGCGAGCCATGGTGCAAGCACTCGGCAAGTCAGGTGCAGTCTGAACACAGGCCATTTGAGGGAAGAAATTGGGTACAGGTGGGATGATCGGGAGCTAAGGCAAAACTAAACTGAAAAGAAACTATTATCTGGTCTCGTTCTGAAGATGAGTGGAGGTCGGGACATCTGAAAGTCAGAGCAGGGTCACCTGGCTGATGACGAGACAGTGGTAAAGGAGCACTGACAAGTGTACAGGCAATGCAGGAACCTCCCACGTTGCTAATGGGAGCCTGGTACCTATGGAGACTGTACAAAGGTGGTTTGCTTCTCATCATCCTCCTGCTTCCATTGCCTCCACTCCACAGACTCCCCAAGGCCAATCCAAATAGGTCACTAACTGGTCAAAGTATACACAGCTTTCGAGTACAGTCAGAACTGGCATGAAGGTCGAGTGACTCAGAGTTTTCCTATCACCCTCCAGGGCATTCTCCAAGTCGCCACACCGGGCTGGCTGTCCAGCAGCCACGATGACTGTGCAACTACGGGGAAGGGAAGGATGGATGCTCCACGGTCACAGGCCAGTTTATTTGTATGGAATGTCTTGGTGATGCAAGAAATCAGAGAAGTGCATTGCATTCATTCATTCCTTTATTTTCTAACTTGATAAAAATGAAGCTTGAAATGTGCTGGACACAATGGATGGATGCATGGATTGTGATATGAGCTGTATGATCCCCCAATAAAATGATTTTTTCTTTTTAAAGGAACCTTGGAGAGAAACGATTGAAACTATGACAGTCACTTTAGTACTTCAAACATTAGGAGAGAATAAATCCAATTCCTTAGAGTCGTTGCATTCTCCTAAACAGTATTTTGAGAGATCTGGGTACAGACAAGAATATACCTTAGCTTTAATTTCAAAAACCATTTATTCCTGGGTATGGTCATCAGCTCGGGGATTTAAATATGCTGTTGGACACATGTCTTTAAAATGGCGTGTAGAGTGAAATAACTGCCACCATGAGACGATACAGAACACACTGCCATCTACCTCCCAGGAAAATCCACTACCAACTACCACAAGGACATGTGGCACTCTTCCTCAGATCTGCGAACTTCCCCGGCCTCTGGGCAGCTGTAATGTCATTAGGATTGTCGTTAGCATAAAGGACATCCTGACTTCCCTTTAACCTGACATGGAAGCGTAATGAGGAACTAAAAACACAGAGATGATAATGATCATTTATAGCCAGTAAGGGAAAAATGTTGGGCTAAGAGCACATAACTTAAGATACTGATAATTTTCTTAGTACACTCCTACAAAATGACAAAAAATAAAACTTAGTTAATGTTTATCATTTATCCTTTAAAGACAGTAGCATATACAGTCACCCCTAGAATTAGCCAGTAATGAAAATACTGTTTCATAGGAAACATTTTAAAAGCATACATACCAGATGTGTCACACAGAGGTGCCGAGCTGCAGGCTAGAGGCCTGCAGGCTGGTCACTGGGTGGTCTATGGGGCAGCAGTGAACAAGCACACGACAATCCTGCCCTCTCAGCAAATTTGGTCGTGTCCTACTTGGAACCAGTTTTTTATTTTAATAATAAAAAGCTGATGTGACTAAAAAATGGGGACATTTCGTTTTGAAAATGTGGCAACAGGGCATGGATGTGGTCTTGGATGGCAACAACTGAACCCGGCTGAGGGCTGCCTGGTGGCCTTGATCCTGTCCCCTCCCCACTCTCATTTCTCAGTGTCCTCAGCTTTACTTTACTACTCAGTTGCTTTACCTTATAAGACTTTCCAGACACCACCACCCCCACACACAGAGGGGTCACAGGAGAGGGATGAGTCAACCAGGGTGCAGTAAAGCACCAATGAAACACACGGTACTCCTCTGGTTCCTTGAGGCTTCCTTACACCCCACTATCATGACCCCAGTGCTGCCTCCCACTGCGAGCTAGACCAGAGCACGTGCAGTTA